GTGAAGGTGACAACACGAGCAGCAGAGTTCTGAATGCGTTGCAGCCTCTCCACGACATATTTAGGAAGTCCATAAAGTAGAGCATTACAGTAGTAATAGTACAGTAGTAAATATAACATGTACATAAAAAATTCATTATTCAATAATGTAATAAAACTTAATTAATTGAATTTAAAGGTAAATTCGTAATCTGATTATCAAGCTCGATCTTAGATAGAGTTCTTTTTAAGACTTTTCTTGACGAAGATTCCTTGATACTTTTATTTAATTTGTTCCACTCTTTCGCGCAGCGGACACTTATGGTGCGCCCTCCCTCTGTTTCGTTCTTGTATGTTGGACATCGGGCATTTATTTTACAGTAGCGTGTTGATCTCTTATGGACTTCAGAGTTCATTTCAAAGAGATCACTGATGTAAGGAGTACAGGTCCCGTTAATCTTATCGTACACAATGGCGCATCTGTTGATGTAAGATTCTTGGTAAAAAGGCAGCCATCTTAGCTCGTTGAACAAGTCAATAGAACGGGAAGATTTATTTACATTCAAGATAATTCTTGCCGCCCTTTTTTGGAGTTTCATAACCCTATTTATAGAGCTACTGTTACATGATGACCATATAGTAGAGCAATACATGATAGCAGGTTTGATGAGTGTGTTGTAATATGTTTCCTTCTGTGGTTTGTTTAAGTAGGGACTGATGTGTCGAAAAAGTCCAATTTTCTTTGAAAGATTCTTACATAGATTATCAACATGGTCTTCGAAAGTCAATTTAGAGTCAAGTGTAACACCAAGGACTTTATGGTTGTTTACTTGTTTGACATCACAATTATTGATGGCAATATTGAGGTCATTGTTATTGTTGGTGAGGCGTTTCGGTAGACGTTTTCCTGTTACCAGCATTGATTTGGTTTTAGTTTCGTTGATTATCATTTTATTTTGACTGCACCAAAAAAGGATATTGTCGACATCGTCTTGAAGCGTTGTAGAGAGAGATGTAAGATTGTTCCATTTTTTACTTAACGACAACGTAACATCATCCGCGTATATATCGGCAGTGGAGCCTTGGACATGAAGTGGCAGGTCATTCATAAATACAAGGAACAAAATCGGGCCCAAAATTGAGCCCTGTGGAACGCCATGTTATATTGGTAATAGAGAGGATGTGCAATCATTAACCTTTAAACGTTGATTTCTTCGAGGTAAGACTTAAACCATGCCAGTGATGGTGAGTTGGGAAGGTACAGGTTGAGTTTTTGAAGTACATCAACAAGACCTTCATTCCTATTGTTACTCCTTATTTGATTTATTTCATTTTTCCTTCTAAATATTCCTATTTCATAACTGCTGTAAAAAATGTAATTTTTTGAGTTTCAATAAGTATAAGAATTATAATAAAAAAAGGATGCAAAAAAAATTATACAATTTGGAAAAAATAGGGAAAGGTTTCTGACGTAAAGTAGATCGTGCCCCTAAGGCAATACTATTGTGCTATTGTCGTAACTACAGATTTAGATGAGTTCAAACTGATTGGCCAGCACTTTAAAATTGTGACGTACGTAGCTTTTGTTATGAGAGATGAGGCAATATTATTGGGTTCTATCTTGTGTTTATTCCTTGTAATTCTTAACAACAACTCTCTCACATATAGTCGCCACGTGTTAATGTATCTAATGCGCATGCTCAACGCTCCTGAATATGCATATCATTACAGCTTTGCGTCAAAATTGTTAAAGCCAAACAAGTAACATACCGACCTGAATAACATAGCAAAGTTTCAGAAGGTAATTTGGAATTCAAATGGAAATTACTTTTTCCCTCTACTTACCGTGACTTACTGTTACCATAAGGTTATATATGGAATTTCTGGGCTTTTTATTGAAAATACATATCATTTTTCAGGAAAAGCTCTCAACAATCATGCCATCAAGACGACACAAGTTTCCTCCAAAATTAACTGTGTTTTCCAGTGTCTGAGTGTCGAGCAATGTGTTTCGTACAATTACCAGGAAACTAGCAGCACAGGTAGACATACGTGCGAGCTGAATAGAAAGAGCTTTCGTAATGCTAAACTTGAAGACTTCCAGGCAAGAGATGGATTTGTGTACGGGGAAAGCGTTCCACAGGTAAGGATCTGAATGTGAGAAGAGAAAACCAAAAAACAGAGAAAACAAAACGCCGCGAAAAAAACTAAGAAACAAAATTTAAAATGCGTGTCCAGACCTTGACCAAAAACAAACCAATCAACCGACCAATCAACCGACCAAACAACCAACCGACCGACCAACCAACCGACCAACCAACCGACCAACCAACCGACCAAC